ATCTCTTTCCAACAATGACTGACCCTTCTCATTTAAGACCTCTCCTTCTTTTCCTTCTCTCTCTCTCTCTCTCTTGTTTTTTCTTTGATCACGAATAGCCTCATGTTTCCAAGCTCAGTTTATAACCAATCTGATACGTTTCATCCTTCCGGGTGTCCTATGCGGGCTGCTTTATCCTTCCGACGAAGATAGTCAGTTTATTTGCCTCAGCCCCAACGTCAATGGTTCTCTCCTGAGCACGAGACGAATCTCCCTCCAAAGTCACCGACGATAAATCACTGCTGGTGGAAGGGACCTGCAGATTGTAGCTTCCGATGTCATCTAGATCCCTCATGGCGACTTCCATAGGATCTGCACTTTCTTCAGCCTCAGCCTCCGACAGATTGTTAAGGACCGCATCAAAACGGTTATTAGCTTCGATCACCCCCTGGGATTCCTCCTCCTCTTCCCAGCTGTCAATAATACTGGCCTAGTCAACAGCTTCATCCGTGGTGGTGTCAGGAGGGGAGGGGGTGTCACGAGGGACAAACTGAGGACTGGTCGCTGGATTCATGTTCTCAGTACCTAAGTGGGATAAGTCAATCACAGTTCTCAGTGGTGATGAGTCCAAGAAGAACAGGACCCCTGAAAGTAGAGCACAGTCATTCATGTATGTCGCGATTTGACTGCAATGCACAGAGGTTCCTAGTGCACCATTCGAAACTTCGGATGAGTTTCTCGAGGTTGAAGCCATTTCATCCACTCTTGCAGTTTCTCACTCCTAGCCTATTCTCACCTGAACTTCAGGTCGTCGCCCCAGAGTTCAACCCAGTGTGGCTTTCACCAAAAGCGATTGTAAAAGCTTCACGACTTTTTTTCTTCGATTGGATCGAATGTCTCGACCTGCCATTTGCCGTTTGGAGTGTCCAAGCCGTCTACATTCTTAATGGGTAGCCGAGTTCCCAATCTTGCCTATATCCCGCGCTGCTTTCCGCACAAAATGGACGGTAACCTCCTTTGACCACTCGGTACCATCACGAGTCATACGCGGGGTTGGTGAGATCCAGAAGTGGTTAACTGCTGGCACGATGAGTTCGAGGTCCGGTCCGCACCAGACGGCGTAGTCAACAGATAATTACAAGAACCCGTTGGCTTTCTGGACTGTCTGATGAGCCCATTAGGTTCAGGTTCTGCGCGGGGTATTCGGATGGCTCGTTCTTACTTCACTAGAGGTCAGTCGTATTGCCCATAAGAACCCACGCATCGTCTAGGCGTACACCTTCCAGTGGGTGCACTTGAATGCTCCCCCCGTCTGAATGATGCTGACCATGCTCGCCCTTCAGGCCGGGTGTGATGCGGTGATATCGAGTGTTGGCCGTCATTCCCTATCATGTAATGTGTAATGCTCTTGATGTCGGTATACCTGTATTCTCCATGGTCGTAAACACTTGATTCACAAAGGGGATACAAGGGTCCGGGTTTGGCTCAAACGGATTTGCGTTCAGACCAACGTTCTGAATACTCTAATTGTTTAACTGCTTGACCGTTAAGGGTAGCCTCGCACATTTATTCCACATGGCTGGAAGGATAATGCAGATTCGTCGCCGAAGAATCTTGCTTTGCAGTTTCCTCACGTTCTTCATGTTGTGGCCTTTCTCCGCCATGCCCCCTTGTTGCTTGTAGATCTCGGGAAATATCTGGTCGAGTTGAATGTGGTTTGCAGTTCGTTTGCTTTGAAAGCCTTTCCCTTGGTTCCATTTGTATCCCCGGGGGAAAGGTGTACGTGCAGGTCGGCCAGGGACTTTCGGATGGCGGTTTGGTAACTGCACGGCCGCGAAGGACCATGTTATTGTGATACTGATATTGAGGCGCTGCTGGCCCAGAATCCAGATCTGATTTGCATGGGCAGCTTCACCACCGCACAGATCATACCAACCCTTGTACTTAGGGAAGAAAGATGTAGGCTTTGGGTGGGTGAAATGTGGTTAATTCCGATATCTTTTGGAATCTAAGCTTTAGACCTAGGTGTTCTGGTTTCCTGACGTTTGTTTCTCGATTTTTCCAGAGTACAGTAACGCATGTGCTGCTGGAATCCGTGAGTCCGGCTTGTATAGATGCTGTTGTGGTACCTCAATAGCGACATGTTGTATCAGCAGGAACGGATTGATGCCGTGATGTTCGTCGTCACTGGGGGATGGTACTTCCTCGCTTGAGCAATGTTTGAGACCTTGAGATTAGGGTTTCTGCACCACTTCTCGGTTGAACAACCCCAGAAGCTGTATTGCCGCGCTCCATTAATCCGCTATGGGAGGGGCCTCGCCTGAGGATTTGGTGCTGAGTAACCGTGAATCTGATTCGGGATGACGCTCGATGGAACGGGGTGAGATGATGAAGCATGGCAGTGATCAGAGGATAATGCATCTGTCGATTTAGAGGAGAAGTCTCCTTGCGGGTCTTATTGACCTGTGTACCAGTATCTTTGCTCTCGCATGCGCAGACATCTAACACGACTATAACTTCCTCCATCGTTCATACGAGGCACACGGAATTCTCCTTCAACGAAAAAGCATTGCAAATAAGACAGCGCGACTGACGATTGCTAGACGCCGTTGTCAAAAGGAGGGAGGAAGTAGTGAAATGAGAAAAAAAAGATAGAGTCCATCGGAGGGAGGCCACAGGTTAGTTACGCTCGATTTTTGCCAGGCGCCGGAGTAGATCGTTCGGCAGAGGCCACTGTTCGAGGGGTGTGCCAATGAAGGAGCGGTCCTGCTGCGCGAAGAACCAAGTCTCTGCGGCCCCAAGGAACGCTCGTGCCCTCTTATTCAACACTGACCCCAATTTGTATTTCGCCTTGCAGTGACTTTCGAGGGCATCGGCGGGAGGACCCCAAGTATCGCCACTGGCTAGGACTTCCTTGAGCTTGCATTTGTCGCGTAGGAGCCCCTTACCGGCCTCAGGAATCTTGTCGACATTTGGGACCTCGGGGAGACCGTAGATAGTTCCGTATGCCCTCCTTGGCACAGTCAAGTTTGGAGACTTCCACATCAAGTGGCGGTCCTGGATCCACTCGTACAGCATCAGTGGGTCCAAATCAGGGCTATAGTCTCCCCACGGGAGTGAGCTTCATGCTGAACAGGACCATCGATGCAGGTGCTTCATGCCACATCTGTGAGCCAGGAGTCGCCTGCTGTCATTCTAGCGAGCCAAAACTAGGATGATATGTCTGTTTGGGTGACTGACTCCTCAGCCTGTCTCGGAAATCCCAAATAACGCTTTTGCTTAGCAGCATATTGTTCAACTGCTGGGGGGTGTGCATATGTTCTTGCAATATATTTTTCAGTCTGCACACTGCCGTGTTCACTCTCACTGTTTGAGGTCTTTCTGTTGTTAAAGATCCCCTTCGTTGCTTTCCAAAATTGTGTCTTTTACCCAACATATGAGTCGGGCAAGGTGGTCTTCCACACATGACTGAAGTGTCAGTTGTGACGCAATTAATTTTCCCAGACATTCAACTGTTTGGCCATCATGGGCGTAGAGCGTGAAATCAGTCAGATCTTCCAAGCACTGGGATGAGCATTGGGATGAGTACACGCGGGCTCGAAACAACACAACCCCAATGGAGGACTGTGTGCTGCAGGGTGGCCCGCAACGCTACTTCATTGTGGGATTTCAATAGAAGAGGGAAGATGAGTGTAGTAAGCACAGGCTAAGTGTATAAACAAAGAAAGACCAACTGCAGACGACAATAGACCATATGGAGTAAATTGAAGGCAGTTTCCAAGTGGCGTAATGGTCCATTCGCTCTGGTCCACGCCATGGATTGACACGACCGCCTAAATTTGGACATGGAGATGTGCGACAATATCGGGAGCATCGACACCTGAGTCGCCTTGAGAAGGAGATAAAACTGATTCGAAAAGGACATCCAGCCTCTGCATCGATCATACTTACTCCGGATCACTTTGCCGTTCTTCGACCATACTTGCCCGGCTGGTCCGTCCCCGCAGCAGCCATGACAGAATTTCCCAGAAGGCATGGTTGCTCAACCCCGACTTCGAGGTACCCAGGCCCATGAGTTTTGCGTAGGAGGGCTAGCTGGTCCAGAAAAGAACCTCTGCGCTTTGCACGCCACACTGTCGCCGAATGAATGAGAGCTGTATCTTGATCAAACGGTAAAAGAGGTTGTGACACAACTGGGCCGTGTGCAATGGGACTTCATCCAGTCCGTTATGATCCAACGAGTCTTGATCAGACGGTCAATTGAACCAACACGGTCCTGAGCGATGTACACCCATTATCGGTGGTAGGTCTAGTATATCATCAGGTGGCCCTGGATCTGATAATTGTCTAGCAAAGGTGGCCAACGTAATACTTACTGGCAAGCCTTTGACTTCTGGCCTAAATTCTGTGCTCCCGAGGCGTCTAGCCCTGTCTCAGCGGAAGAATACAGCACCAGCTTAGTACAAAATAGCACGCTGAGCTCTTTGATGCTTAGCTCGAGGTCGGTGCTCGGGATTTGGACCCAATAGTACTTAAGTTTCAAGGGTCTTAGCAAAAGCTATCACCAGAGAAGCGTGACGCATCGGTCAGCGCCATTTTGGACTAGCAAGGTCATTAGTCGGATTTTAACCTCCTCGCGCTGCACCAGCCGGATGACCGGCAATGATTCCGTGGGCGACGTGCCTTCACATCTCCGAGAAGAATGTCTAGGCTAATAGTTTGCGATTTTTTGTCGCTGAGTATCAAGATTGAATTGACCCGGAGGTGGTACAGGCGCGTCAATGTGCTCAAGCCAGGTCACCCAAGCGACATGATAAGCCATCTGTTTCAGAAGGCCTTTTGAAAGTGTATCTAGTCCAAAGAATGTGCTCTTCCTGCGATGCGTACCCGTGAAAACAAAAATGGTATTAATGAAGGGACGAGTTGTCAAATCCTCCCCGTCCTCCCCACCACCTGCAACCGCCGCCACGATCTCCCCTCCGAGTCGGGCCACCTCCCTCGCAATGTAAAGCAGCCGCCAGATGTGGCAGACCGACCCTGCGCTCGACGCGCAACAGTGTGTCCAGGGCGCGCAGGCCGTGGTCGATCAGGCCGATCAGCGTCGGCGCCATCCCGTACTGTCCGCCTTGTTAGTCACCCTGTGAAACAGCTGTCTCGTGTTCGGTTAATGGGAGTCACGCAAGGAGATCCTTTTTGCATCACACCTGACATTCATCAGATCATGGTCGATCTCCTTTACGAACCGTGCATCATCAAGGCGTCCCTGAAGAAACTATATCTCATCTATCAGAGCCGCAAGGGTCTGCTCTTGTTGCTGCTTTTGCTCCTGCTGCTGCTGGGGGGTGAGTGAGGGGTATCATCAATCTTCTCATCTTCAATGGTTAATGGACTTCTGCTTCAGTGATAGATGCGAAGCAAGACGGCGAGATGCTGTCTTGGTGGGTAAGAAATATCTGTTAAGAACTTTTCGTCGGAGTCCTGACCCTGTGAATTTAGGAAGAAGCTTGGCAATGACTGGATACGATCTGTACAGAAAGCCAGAGGACACCCATTGCAACCGCTGATGAGCATTGCTGCTGTAGGTCTATGGCCGGCTAGGACTGGCCGTATCACTGCCTCGTCTACGGCCACCAATGCCACTTTCAGGATTTTTCGTGAGCATGGGGGCCGCGAACACTGTGGCAACCAGGAACATCCGCGAGGCGCAGGGTGTCTTCCCGAAGCCTTTCGATAGTGGACCGGAAGTTTTCCTTGCCTGTTGATCCGATTCTTCACCCGTTTGGTATTAGCAGAAGGTTCCTTGAAGGCCGGGCTGCCGTGATGACTCCTCAGACGTGCTTCAGGTGAGCCTGCCATCTCCAGCGCTCGGGTCTCGAGGCTTAGCCGGAGATGCTGCACACGCTGTTCGATGACTTCCGCAATGAACTGGACTACGTTTGTGGGAGTGGGGAGCAGCCGGGATCATTTTTGCAGATCTGCATGTCCATTGGCCCTCTGACCTCAGAATGGTCCCATTCGACTGTGTCGATGCAAAATGTTATAGCTGGTGGGTCGATGGACTCAGTTTGAGGTAGCAGGCATTCCACGAGGGTAAAGCTTCCATCCGCTGCCGTCCTTACGTTGCAGTGAAGCCACGCCTCGCCTTCACTAAGTCCACCGGCATCCTTGCTGCCTTGCTGTGACGAATATCTCAAAGCAGCGATAAGCTCAAGGAATATTCAGGCCGTCTCGTATTGTTCAACCAGCCAGCCTCCTGGAAGTGGAACCTTCCTCTTATCGAGGGTCCATGGGCTCAATCCTAGGCTGGCTGGTTATCCAAACCTCTGTGATTGCGGGCGTTTTTCTCAGCCTGGAACGATACATGGCATATTGATTTGTCCGACGAGAGTTTGTTACAGACCGACTCGTCTCAGCCATCACCTAAAGCAATGAGTAGTCTTTCGAATTCAAGGCAGACATTAGCGGGCCTCTCGGGTTACTTCGACAAAGCGACATGCCATGTTTCACAGTTGAGATGATGTTGTAGGTATGGGAAAATGCAAAATGCGTCTTCGATTACCGTGTATCCTTCAAACTAGCCAAGCGAATCGTTGGCATTTGGACTCTCTATTTCAATGCAGTAAGGTCGGCCTAAGTTAGCTGTTGCTGTTGCTGCGCATAGCCGGGGCTGAAGTTGATTCATTTTGATTCATTTTGATTCATTTTGTCGCGCTTTGCTCGTAATGGCATCTCGAAAACCGATTGAATCTTCCTTATGCTCGGAAACACTCTGCATGCGTTCTAAGCTTCTCAGCTCCTCATCCGAAACGGGGATATAAATTTCGACATTAAAGACACCACCATCCGATGTCGCGAACTTCGCAGCTCCACTCATCGCTAGCACTCTATGTAGGATCCATTGCATTTCTAGTAATGCAAAAGAGGGAAGTAGGTGGGTTTCCGGATCATCCGTACGTAATGACAGGATAAATCTTCGATGTGGTGGGCATATACGCCAACATGCCGACATGCTCAAGGACTCGCAGCGGGCTCACGTAATGCTGATTGGTTTTGCCTTTGATGATTCGCATGTGTGAGGTCGGCAAGAATCTCTTTCTCAAATTATATTGGTTTGTGACGCTGATCGTAATAGTGATTCATCTGAGCTGCAGCATAATTGTATGCCTCCTCGGTGTCTGCCGTCGTCTAATGAGGCAAAACATGGTCAGTAGCAAGATTAGCTCTATGCGAGGCCAAACGTGAGGTATTGTTTGACTTCTTCCCGGCCTATTTCTGGACTGCACACGTCCCACCTGCGTATGCATAAGCACCGCCATTTGAGTAGGGCGGTGGCAGTAAGACGACCGTGAATGCACAGCGCAATGCGTTGCAGAAAGAGGCGATCTATCGTCTTTGTGTTGCATTGAGCAATCTGTACCATCTGCGAGAAAGAGGATGGCCACATCTCGCTCCTCGTAGCTGGCTCGGCAAATGGCCCAGATACGCTTGCGATCCGTCTGGAATTCTCTTGCCGAGTTGTATCGAATCGAGAAAATGATAGTTATCGGGTTGTCTCTCACACGGCAGCCCGGGGTTGGATGACCCCCTGTTGTAGGGGAGAAGGAAATTCGAATCCGGCCGAAATGGATGATCACCATAGATACCTGGAGGCATGGCAAGGAGTGAACTGGTTGGATGTTTTACTGACATTTGGCATCAGTGTTGTATAGACCCATCCAGCCACGCTTGATCTTGGGTTGTTGATCACATGTTGACTTGAGCAACAAATTCTAGATGCGCTCATTCAAGAAATTCCGCAGAGGTTGGTCTAAACCGTCTCTGCGCAGTGAGTCTCTTGACGGGATGATCGGAGCGAGTCAGTCTAGCAACCAGAGAGGTCTCTAGCTGCTGGGCTTTCTCATAGTGCTTTAATTGACGAGCACATATCGACAGTATCTCCTGTGCAGGCTCTAGAGCGAAATCAATCAGCAATGATACCTAGCAATTTTCTTCGCAGTTTCCCCCCTATAGTGGCTTGCTCCGCGTTTTGTTTCCTTTCGTGGTTCTTGCATTGGACAGATCGGTGCGATTCTGTCAAACCCAGCATTTGCTGAGGCGACTGCTGCCAGCTGGGTTAACATGGACTTAGGCAGTGCCAGCCTTCTCTACGCTGGTGCAGCTTGTAGAAATGTGAGAAGAGTGATGGCCCGCGGGGTTGATGCGGGATTGGTTTCTCTGGACGTTAGCAGGTACAAGCAAGAAATCCCAAGCCATAGATAGTGGCTTGGTTTCTCGGAGGCAATTCATGATTTGCTCGGTCAAGCCAGAACTCCCATGATGTCTCGAAGTCGAATGAGACTAGGAGATACGATATGCAGCTGTCCACTGTCGATACTCCCCAGATGTGGAAACCAATGTGAACAAGGACCCAGGTCTCATGCTCCACTTCAGCAGTTTTCCGACTCCCTCTTTGCCTTGCTATAAGCATGGCAGGGGGTTGATCAATCGCGTTTCTGTCTTTGCATCATAAGTTACAATTCGCGAAGCTTACCAGATGTATCATGTGCTCAGGAAGCGTCATGGAAGAAAAGAACTCATCTTGATGAGAGAGCTATATCTGTTGATCTAGATAGCTCGTGAAGAGACTACAAGAATTTTTTCTGAACCGCGCTGGCTCAAACACATTCTCTTCAGTGCCGACCGGAAGGGAAACTTCTTTCATCTTGACATCCTGGTCATTGCTGACCTTCAGGATGGACCGGGGGATGCGGCCGGGGGAGAGATTGCTTCAAGACAGGGACTTTATCCCTAACCTTACCAGAAACAACCTTCATCACCACGTCCTGGCCATTGATGACCTGGGACTCCCATGGCAGACACATCACTGGAAAAGCGATCGGACAACACTTCATAAGCCATCTCATATTTCACGGTAGGCATCTTTATCACCATACCAGCGTAACTCCTCAAAATGAATGTAGCATGGTCTGAGATGATCATGACTAGTGTCGAGCAGATCCCGAGAAGCAACTGCTTCATGTATGATGAAGGCGTCATAGCTGGAAAGGCTTGCACCTTGAAAACGACGCGCTCTCTGCAACATGAGCTCTATGCCATGTCCTGAATGGCAGTCCTACCCTGTCACATCTCCTAACTTGTAAACACGGATGTCCAGGCATGTGACCAATTGGCAACCCCAGCGCATAGGATCCGATTATCCCAAAGCGAGCTCGGTCTAGGACAGTTGTCAATGCATCCAATTATTAGCCGCAAAATCCCCTGAAGGCAGCCCATCCCAGCACGCCGAGGCCACACGCAATAAGCATATTGAAAGCTGGTCCTGCTCCTCCTTCAGACATCTCATGCAAGTATCTCCCCTTTCTGATTTTCTCGAAGACGTTGGCCGTTCAGAGCCTATCTGTGCCCTCATTGCAAGCGTCTCTGGGGAAGGTAATTCTTGTTTCCGACCAAGATAAGCCGTGCAATCTGGCACAAGTGCTCATGCGATTCGTGCGGATTACGGAGGATTCTGCTTCATTGCAATGGCTGCGGAGTAAAGTTTCTGGCTCTGCATCATGTTTGAATCCCACATCTTATGGCAGAAGAATGTAGTCTATGTCATCAGCGAGTTCTGCTCCCCCTTCTTCTATGTTGTTAGCAAGAATGACGCTAGTTGCAAATCTCAGGAGCAAGGGGTGAGTGTCGACCATGGAGACGTCAACTATCATCTCTTACACATGCCGCATGCGCAGTCTCGATGCTTTGGGTCCGACCAAAGTGACCCATCTCTCGCGGTTTTCATAGTCTTTTGCAACGTGCGCGTCCATCAGACTCTCGTATCATTGATAGATCGGTCCGTCTTCGTAACCGAGATTCGATAGTTCGGCCTCATAAGCAGATAGGACGTCGGCTGAGAAAGCAGTGAGCCGCGCCCCTCCTCCCACATATCTTGGAATTCGAGGATACAAGTACGCATGGGGATCGCATTGCGGTATTGCAATACTTCTTCATCTGTCAGATTATACCAGCATGAATCTCGAGCTTCTATGAGACGTCAAGGTTTAGGAAGCTATCATGTAGTTCCGAAGAGATCATATCGCCGGCATAGATACAAGGCCTGAGGCTTCATTTTTGTGTAGATTCAGAAATGGGCGCTGTGTTCGAAGTTAGTTATAACCACTGCAGCTTCGAGTACTTGGAGGAACATACAGCATGGCTACCACCGATATGTGGCTTGATGTGCAACAACTCCCAGATCTCAATATCTTCTTTGACATTTAAGCGGTAAGGGTCATATGTTGTCATCTCTAGGAATGTATCGCGACTCGGAGTGCCGTGCGATAGATACGCAGGGTGATCCGCCGTCGGTTTTTTGAATTTGATACAAACCTGATCGCCGTCTTCCGCGAATAGAATTTTGCTTAACGAGGTTAGCAAACGGCTGCGTCAAGGTGGGAGTAGACGACTTACAGTCCCCAAAGAAAATCAGCTGCAATGGTACCAATCAAAACTTTGAGTCGGTATCTGAATATGGTCTGTTCCGAGATAGGCTTGGGCTTCCTAGCTACTCGATAACCATAAGCTTGCAAGAAGTTGGTATGCTCTTTTTTTTTTTCCCAAATCCGCTGCCAAACCGGATCAGAAGCTGCGCCACACGAACTCTGAAAGTTTGGTCTATTTGTGGAGTATTCAGATCCTCTTCGATCTTGACCAAAAGAGCCAGGTTCCAAAAGACTCCGTCGAGGCTCAAAAGTGGAAGATCATCTTTTGACTTGTTGCCCAGAAGGACATACGGCGATAGAGAAGCAAGAGAGAAAGTATCGGGGCTGCAGAGAATAGTTTGAGGTGCAAGCCTCACGATCTACGACGAATGTGAGGAGTCACCTCTTGTGCAACCTCTTTGCGGATTTTGTGGCAAACCAGCCCCAGCGTTGCTGCTAACGTCTGATATGCAGCCTCAGCGTAGAGATGATAGCGCGTATAAGGGTGGACGCATATTAAGTTAGTTGAGTCACTGTCGTGAAGTTTGGTCCGGTTATCGATTGCAGCCTCGAAGCCCTAACTTATCCCCGCCCTGCGGCGAGCGCAGGCATTTCTCTGCAGAGCGTTTAGCTTTCTGTACCTCAGTGAAAGGATTAGCCAATAAGCTGCGTAAACGTCGTTGCTTATCAGGATAATAGCATTGGAAGCATGTTGTATCTCATGGCTGAGATACTTTCATGGAGAGGTTCAACTTCAAAATTGAGGTTCGAAGCGAGCTATTACTGTTAGCGATCTGACGGACGAGATAGAAGGGTCGCGGAGGGAAAGGCATGCATCATACAAGACAGGTGAAGACACCTCCAGATGTCTCTCCAAATATCTTCTGTTGTTACACTTTCAAACAGAGAAGTCCTCCAGGCGCTGAATGTGATAAACAGCAACCGCACGTTTGGTATCGGGGTCGCAGAAAGGGATAGCAGTAGTGTAAGCAGTAGGCCACACCCAGGATTGCTAGTGTCACAGAACCGTTCTGTTCAACGATTGAAAAGCATGCAAAGTAGTCAAGTTCGAGAACTCTGGTCTTCTGACAGGGCAAGAAGCATACCATGCTGTACAAAACGGGAGGCACACAGCGCGTCTGAAGTCACCACATGGAGTGCAGTGCTAGAAGCGATCAGCAACCAAGCCACATAGACCAGCGATGCCTGTCCCAAGCTTACCTGTTATTTTTGGTCCTGGTTAGACCCAAAGATCTTGTTCCCTTTCCTCCTTCTTGCCTGGGATGTACAGTATCCTCCGCAAATAGTTCTAGTGTGCTTTTTCTTCGGCTGCAGGCTCTGCCAGCCTAACAGCAGAAGAAGCCCTGGTTTGATATAGCCAAACGCATAGTTGCGTATGACATCCCGCAAGCCAGGAACTGTGCAGGGGGACGAAGACGAAGTACCTTATTGTAAGGCGTTCCTAGGAATCAAAATGCCAGCCCGCAATGTCCACACGATCGGCACTCTCTTTGCTTGGCTTTTTGCAATGTATATAGAAGGATACATCCACTTCTAGCTTGAAGACGAGGAACGGGACTGAATCCGTTCATTGACTGGTCGGTGTGCGAGGGGTTAGTCTTGTTCTGGAAGCAGGTTAAGGTGACTCACGTTCGGTTAGTGTAGCAGGATTCTGCATCTCTCGGCTTGGCGGATATGAGCCTGACGGCCCACGAAGCATGAGACTTCATTTTCAAGTTGGGCAGTCATCTTCGTCTGGTGGTATATGGTTCTGGAAGTAGGTGTGGCTTGAAGTCACGAGCTTATACTGGTGGAAGGGGCTTTGTTGGGGGGTTTGTATAGTTGATAAGAATTTGGGCTTAACGAGAATGTTTTATTCTGTTAGGAACTGGGTATGGTGAAGTGCTGTAGTGGTGGAAGGAAGGAAGGTAGGGAAGAGTGGGTTGAGTGGAGTGGAAGAAGAAAGGAGCCGGAGGATGGAAGAGTAGAGGAGGAGGAGGAGGAGAATCAAGTAGGCGAAGGCTGGATGAAAAGAACCATTCATCATGAATAATAGCCACCTATTCACAAGGCCTCTGGTACAGACCGTTCACTAGTGTCCGGGCTTCGATAATGAGAAGCAGACTTATGGTGGTCTCTGCGTGAGTTTCATGGAGGGAATTCACACTAATACATGTGTACTTGTCCATTCACCTTGGCCATTATTCACAGCGTTCTTAGTCTCAGCCAATCAAGCAGCTATATCATTCGGCCTGCTGTTGAAGCTCGATCCGGGTGGAGGAATCGGACAGCTGGCCCCCTATCCTAGGTCAGCAAAGTAGACAGAAATGCGATAATTCTACGATGAGTGTGAACATTGCTCTAAAAATGTATTATAGATTGATTGTCAAGCATAGAGCCCAAATTCGATGTAGCCCATGTGCCAATAGAAAAACAGCAAGCCTGGCAAAGACCAGACCAGAAACATCACAAGAGACCACAAGAATTCGCCAAACTCCAAGCACCTCGCCAATAAAGGCTAACTTCCAATAAACCAAATCGCTTGTCGCTTAAGATAGCCAATGATCTTGTCCGTGCAGGGGATTCACGCAGTCCAAAACTGGAGAAAGACTCAGGCCCAAACAAAAGAAAAGAAGTACCATTAAAGACGATATTAGACCAAAAGTGGGGGAATGAAAGTAAAAGGCCATACCAGCAGCCACCATGAACAATGTGAGACCAACCCCGGATATGCTCGACTCCAGAAAGTCCCCAGCCCAGGGTGGATGGTCGGTAAAGTAGGGATTGTTGATTGTTGGAGCGCACCCCACACCCGGAAATGCATGGATGTTGACACCTGCATACTTGGCGGGGGCCGGGCGCGGCTCGGCGCCCAGATGAATGACGTTGACCCCCCGGCAAGGGTCATTTCTCGGCACCACTGCCATGCATAGATAGATAGACTATCCAATTGGTTTGTCCCGTCTTGTCCTTTCGCAATTGAACTCGAAAAAGAGGTGTCATATCTCTTTGACTTGCCAAGAAGGCTGACGTGGGTGCGCAAGACTTCATATTGCATTCTTGGCGGTGGGTTGGCGCGGTCGTTGATGGGTTTCTGTCCGGTCTGTATCGATCGACCCAAGGACGTGGAGAAAGAATAGGGATGGTGTGGGGGCTGGGGCACAAAGAGACCCCGACAAAGCAGGTAACAATGTGCTGCCCCCATACCGTACGACGGTACAGCATCAAGCATTCCCATTCTCTCAGTATGACAGTTGCTCCAGCCAAGCCGAGATCTGCAATTCTGGCGAATGTTGGCCCGGGTGACAGGCATCGGTGACCAGTTGCTCCGTCACGAAAGCGTCGACATTGCGCTCGGTCAGGGGGATCTTGTACCGGTTCTTCTGCTTGAGGAGTTCCTTCTCGGCCCGGGCGGAGGGGGAGAATTTTTGTAAGGTGTTGCGAATGCGGCTGATCTTGCTGCTGGGGAAGTGGGAGATGCGCGGCGGGCCGAAGGGAATGTCGACCTTCCAGGGGTCCTCCGAGGCGATGGACCGAGCATTCTTCTTGCGCTCTTGGGAGGGAAACTTGCTCGACATGATGAGGGTGGGAAGCTGGAATGACGCGGGATTGGAGAGGGGATGATTTCCGAGGCCATGGATCAGGAAACCGAAGAATGAGAGCGATCAACAGGGGAGGGGAGAGGGAGGTTCAAGGATGAATATATACGATGCTTGGGACGGGCCACGGGACTCGGGCGGGGAGTCACCAGTCCGTTTAGTCTTGCACATCACGGAATGTCGGCACTGCGGGGACTTTGCCATCGCGCCCATGGGCCACACTAGTGGATGCTAAGACTTTAAAGGGGGGTTAGGGGGGGAACTATTGTACTTTCAAGTTCTCAAGAATGATAGTCTGACCCTGCCTCCTGCTGCATACAATGTAGTATTATCATGGCGATTTGAAAAAGAGAATGATGGGACTGGTTGCCATTCAAGAAACGTCTATGTCGACCAACCCCGCCGGCTCCTTGTCTTTCCTTCTTTGCAGCTTTTTGGCATAAAGAACACCCTACCTTTCAACAGCCGATAACTAACTAACTAACCGAACGGGAAATTACTAAGTAATCGCCTAGCAGGCAAGTTGTTCGCCCACCCCACGTCATCTTACGAGAAGTCGGGCGCGGCGCCCTCGATGGATTTCCACGATTGTACTGTGTAGATCAGCACAAACCATAACCTGGACGGTGGATTAGTGGGGGAGAAAGGGCCAGAGGATCTCCGCGGTCAGGCCCAAAATACGTCAACAAGAAAACTCTTTTTTGCCCTATTCTATTCCAAACGAGTCGCTATTACAACAACCCATTGCAGTCTAACCTACACCCATAAGCAGAAGCGTAACTACCGAGTAAACTAGCCTATGATTTTTCCTGATCGCCGAGCATTGCCAGTGGCCTACCTTCCCTGCGGGTACAAAAGTAATTGTCTCACGCACAGGCCAAACCCGAAATGCTTATCTGGGAAAAACAAAAGTGGGTGATAAGTCGAATGCATGCGCACACCTGTGCCGTGAACCAGGTTCTCAACCAACCAGCCAACCCTAGGGTCCTTCTCCGTATCCCAGCATCGGTGATCCCAGCCATTGCAATCCTTGGCTACTCGATGGATCACGGAAGAATTCGCGCCAAGGGGTTTATTATTAAAGAAGCATATGGAATAACGGTCAACGCAACGTCGTGGAACAAACTCGACGCATACTCATTTGCTCGAGCAGGACAATTGCCCAATTGCCCCCAAGCCAAGCAATACGATTCAACGCGAAGTGCCAGAGCCTATTCCAGGTCGTGCTGCCAATATCTATGCAGAAACTCGTGAGACACCTTGCAGAATGTGTGGAATGCATGGTATGATGTTCCTATAGGAAAAGGGAGATAGGAGGCCGACTGTGGTGTCGATGGTTGCTGGATTACTATCTGTGTGTCCGGACCGGATTATTTTACACTGTAGCTTGTTTTTCTGTGATAGAAAGAATCGCTAGGCGGTCGGTCCTCTGATATTGGGTTTGACTGAGAAAGCGTCCCTCGCCTCGGCTTCGACACCTCTAATCTAACTTTCCATGCCCCCATCGAGGTCACACACACACACGGCACAAACAATTCAACCGCCAAAACTGACCATCAGGCTAGAACCTCTCCAGAAGAAACTAGATGAGAAACCCTCCCACGCCACGCCACGCCACGCCATGCCATGCCACATACACCATGCACGCAGGCGTGCACACATGCAACAAAACTCTCTGCGGGGTACAAGTACAGTACAGCACAGGACCGTCCGCGCAACTCTTCCTGATTCCTAGAGGCTGGCGCCCAGATCAAACACCAGAAGAACGTTTTTTTTTCATGATTACTAGGTAACCGGCAAGATCGACTGCAGCTGCAGAAGCCAGGGCACTCAAGGTCGAGACCTCTTTTATTCTAGCCTCTCGTTGGTGCAGGAATCGGTTTTGTGTAATGCAGTGCAGTGCAGTCCAGTCCAGTCCGGGAAGGCCAGGGGGTTTTAGGGGGGGAGGGGCAGCCACACACTTCTGTTAAGTGGGTAGGCTGTTCTGGGCTGCAACGCTCACCCGGACCGCGGTCGGTCAAGTGACTCGATGCTGATCGCAGGGTTGCGCTAGGCTGTCGTTGCATTCTTTGCTAGGGGGTAGGGGTAGGGGTCTGGGCTAGGGATTAGGTGTTGTCTTCCTTTTTGGCGAGCGGATCTCTGCTTCGGCTTCTTATTGTCACTGTCACTGAAGAAGGCCCGGGTGGGGACGGGGGCTCTAGGCTCGGTTGGTGCAATGCTTGATTGCCATGGCCTTGTGGGGCTAACGGACGGGGACCACTTCGCTACGCTACTGCAGTAGATAAGTTTGCAGGTTGTGGTTTATTTTATCTTGACATTGTCTAGTCGGTTCTACGACCTTGCTTGACAATTGGCTTTCTCTCTGGTTTCTGAAGGGTGTGGGTTGAAGCGATTCGCAACTTGCTTATGGGTATCTAGATCATCGCTATTGAACCTTATCCAGAACATCATCGTTACTTATACTGGTCCAGCCTGCATATATAGAACAAACAAAATCCAACATATCATCCTGCCCAAAGAACGCCGATCCGCTCTCTTTCTGTTTGAAAAACGCTAATCCACACGCCGAACCACGTACTAAACTTTTTACGCCATGAAAAACATGCTAGAAATACAGAACTTAAGATATGAGCAGATCTTTCACACTCATGCCCAGCTTCTTTTGCGGATCTTGTCCCTGGCTGTGGTCTTCCCGCGCGATCGGGACAGGAGGTGCCTGCGCGTCATGGACCGATCCCACGGATCCCCGACAGTCACGGTTCAGCATGAGCAAGGCTGCCGACGCTTCATGGTCGACATCGGCTGGAGATGTCATGGCGTACTGCGGTGACAGGCCCGGGGAGGTACTGGCCGATGCAGCCCACGAGCCACGTGCCGAGCGGGACGTCTCTGGGGCGGCGGGCTGGACTGGTTCTGAGGCAGAGAATGTCGCGAACGAGCATCGGAGGTCAGGAAGTGATCCGGGAGCAGGCGTCGGGATCTGTGCAGAAAATATCGGTGAAGTCGTATTAGAGGCCGAGGATTCAGTCGGGAGAAGCTCTGGAGACACCGAAGCCGAAGATGAAAGTCCTGACTCCTCTCCAAGAGCCTCCGGAGATGCTGGAGAGGGTGGGGCCGGCGCCATGGATGGAGAGACTCTCGTTGCAGGACCACCCGCGGTCTTCAGATCTAAAATACATTGCTCCAGGTAGTTGACGTAATCAATGCTTGCCTAGGTACATCGGGGCTCATTAGCGATCAGAAAACAGGGGTCGAAAACCGGGCGAAAGGGCAACAGGAACACACCTGCAAGATAGCGAGCTTATGCATATCCTGTCCCTGACAGGCGGGGATCATGTCTTTGAGGGTCGCAAACTCTTCATTCATCTTCGATCTCCGCCGGCGCTCGATCAAGCTGTGTGCTGTCTTGCGCGCAATCTTCCGACCGGCTGCGCTTGTGGCGCTGGGCTGTTTCTTCTTGGAGTTTGAGGGAGCTGCATTGCTGGCAGAGGCCTTGCTGGCGTTGTCTTTCGTGGAGGCCTTGCTGCTAGGCGGCGCGGCGGGTTTGGGCTGGTTCTGGGTCTTGGGCTTCATCTGGATGATCTTGCGGGTGCGGGTCGGCGGTGGTGGCAGATTAAATTCTTCCAGGGGTCGCTTGATTCCCGTCTGACGCGGCGAGTTGGCCATGCTGCCCATGGTGGTATTGGGCGAGGCAGGGGACGCAGGAAAGCAGAGGGCAGGATCCGACTTGGAGGACCTTCGGCTGGCAGCGACCATCCGAACAGGGCTCATGGCAGCAGGAGGCAGAGCAAAGGTGTCGGCCGCATCCACAGAGGACTGCTCCTTGACGGTGAGCTCCCCGGACATGGCGGGGGTCGGTGGCAGACGAGACCGTGACATGATTTGAGTCGGGGGGGGTTGAGCAAGGTTGGCTGTCGACCTGACACTGCTCGCCAATGGGTGCGTTGGCTGAATGGAAATGGGTTGAACTAGTGGAGATGCGAGTAAGACGGGGCCAATGGTGAAGGGTATGTTGAACGACCTCCCGCAGCGAGGTTGTACAGTCTTGCTTGCCGGTAGGGGAGAAGAGGAGTAATTCGGGAGGTAGTAGTTGAGAGGCGATGCGAGAACGACAGTATAGGAGGAGTGGAGAGAAGGCTTAATTCGCACCACAGAGGTCAAGAAGGAAAAGTTTTATGTTTAATTATCATAGATCAAAGCCAAAGAGGATAGAGAAAGGAGACGCTGATGAGAGGAGGAGGGGAGAGTGATGATATCTAAGGAGGGTAGGGAGACGAGAGTGTTCCTAGAACGGGAGGGAGGGGGGAAAGTAGTAAGTAGTAGGAGGAGGAGGAGGAGGAGTATGAGGAGGATCACGATAATGGTCTGGTCCTAAGGTAGGGTAGGTACTTAATCATTACTTAATCTACAGTTACCCGGACAAGTATGATAGTCGCAATAAGTCCCAAAGTACAGTAAGTTACCTATAATTTAGTTTAGAAAACAGGATGATCGACAGATGAAATCCAATCTGTAACCTTTGCTGAAGAGACACCCAGTCAAGTGTGTCGCGTGCTTAGGGAAGCCCACGCGGCGGACGAGACGCCCATCATTGGCCGGACAGCGGCGGCGGAAAGGGCACGAGACCGAAAGACCGCCCGGGGCCAAATGGCCGAGTCTCTGAGGCCTCCTGGCGCTCGTGCTCCCGTTCCCTCTTCTTATCGGCTGCGTAGCCACTTGACTCCTTACTTCTAGACTTCCTTCAAAGTACGCCAAACCCTAAACGGAGGACGTTCCACTATCTGAGGTGGTTAATCCCTCTCCAACAAAGCAATCTACTTTATCTACTAGTAGTCATGATGCCGTTGATCATGATCGAGTAAGTACCGTGGACGGTATGCAGTCTTGTGCCGTAACCTATGTCTAGGTTCCACTTGAACTCGTCCAGTGCAGCGGGAAAAGAGAAAATGAGGGGGAAAGGGAAAAGCATACCCTTCTTATCTGGCTTGATCGCCCACGCTGATGCAGAGGGAATGCTAATTGGTGATGTTGAAAGATTCCGTCAACATCTCCGACCTCACTCCCCCCTCCGTACTAGGGCACGAGATACTTCTCCGAAGACATCCTTCCCCGCTGCAGACTGCAGAATCTCAGAGGAAAAGAAAATAGAGAATCATGATGCAAGAGACGAACATAGCTGAGTGAGACATATGATTCCCTCGAAATTTCCCTCGAGACAGAATACCAATTCAAAGGAAGATGGAGAATAAATCAATGGAGTTATGTCACCAGTGGCAACACATGTACTTTACTCATAGCAATGTCGAACCCCATCACCATTCTCAAGCCCGTGCACATCTCCCCCCCTCCTCCCCTCATCGTCTCCGGATTTATCCGTCCTCACTGCATGGGATCAACCGCTCACCCGAGCGCCCGTTGGCGTTGAGGACCCCGAGGAGGCTAAGGGGGGAGCGCACCACAGGAGTAAGTCCGCTGGAAAATGTTCCGAGCCAGGCCAGGGTCTTCAATCCCGTCCAGACCTGGCATCCAAGCACGTGCACCTTCTATTCTCAATCAGTGGTTTCACAAGCTGAGCGGGCAGAACCGTGGACGTGGACGTGGACGTGGACGTGGACCGTGGACCGTGGACATGTGCCAGTACCACCGGATTAGTCCAGTACAGTATTCAACTGAAGATAATTCTGCTCTAGGCTCGAGCCAGTGCTTTGACTTAATCTTGGAGCTGGTCCTTCGATGTCTTTGTCTCAGTAGTGCTGTATCTCTTGTGCGTGATAAATACGTTTCAGGAGAACATACGTGTCTGATCTGCTAGACGGTTGTGAGTGTCCCTCTCAGCAAGGTGCCTTTAATGATGCGGGGCTTTAGCGACGCGAAGGTCTCGTCACGAAGCACTCACCTCGGGGGCTTATGATCCTCGGACCTGCCGACGGATTCCTTCTTGACGGAGTCCGGAGCTATTCTTGATCGGGTCGGGGCTAGAAATGAGGGGAAAGCAGAGGAGGACGCATGCTCCAAGCCATCGTACTCAGTACTTTTAGCCGGACGTCTATTTATACACTTTGGGCTCGTCCTGTTCGTGCCATGGCGTGCCATGGGCACATGCCTACCAATTTGCTCATATGTTTTTACTTCTATTGCAGAAACTCTATCACTATATAGGGGGCTATTCACTAGCAACTCTGATGTATGGGGGTGGCGAGTGTAGGTTGTTGAACGCATCGCCGCGCTCTATTATTCTTAGTTGAAGATCCTCTCGAGAAGGATGCCCCCAAAGGTGTTCTCCACCGGGGAGTGATCCATCCTCAAAACGCGGTTTCCTGCCCTGGCGCTCAACCACAGACCATGGTCGTTGGAGCTCTCCTCCTCGCCGTCAATCCGGTGGCGATTGCGGCGGTCTACCACGCAGAGACCTCTCGTCCACTGGCCGGTGGTCTCAATCCGAATGTCCTCCGGCGAGGTTGCGGACGGCTTCCACCCTTCGTCATCTGCGGTCAACGCATACCACACGCACACCGGATCGTGGAGACTGAGGTCGGCCTTGTCGCCCTCGTGGCCCGGGTGAAGCCTCTCCAGGGTCTGGAAGGTGTGGGCCATGAAAGCTGACACCCATTCGGCGAGTGGGGAGCCGGATTCCAGCAGCGGGGTGATGGCCTTCCGGAACTGACCGCGGGTCATACCATGGCGGAGAGTGATGTCGAGGGGAAAGGTGCGAAGGGTGAGCTGTTTGCTGAGTGTAGCGGGGTACATTGGCAGACTCGTGCCCGGGGGCATCGTGCTCCGGGGAGAAGGCGACGTGAGGGCGTAGACACGGGCGGCAGCGACTGCATCGGCATAGGCGTTGAATTCAGCCGCAGGGGTGACCTGATCGTTTTGCGTTAGTATACAGCAAGCAGTTTTCCAGATTCTCGGGGCGGCACAGAAGCATACATTTCCAGGCTGGTTCACAGCTCCTCCCATGATCACAACCTCCTTGGCCCTAAGGAAGGTCTCTGGGTCATTTGCAGAGGCGATGGCTAGGTTAGTGAGGGGGCCAACAGCCACAATAGTAACGGTGTCGGGGTCATTCTCGCGCAGAACGCGGAGGATCTCTTCGTATGCGGGACGCTTTGAAGGAACAAACAGCCGGTTGGCGGAATCGCCAGTCGGGACTGGTTCAATGTCATTGGAATCGTTGGATGGGTCGAACAAATGCTCCCAGGTTTCCTGGGGAGACAGGTGCGGATGCTGCAAGCACTTCGTTAGTGAATCGACGGGTTAGGAAGGAGACATGCGCCCTGCTCACGCTGGTGTGAATTCCACCGAGACCATCCGTTCCGTCTAGATGAGTGGTCAGCGTTCCTTTCAATCCTGACTCTAAGCTCAGACACGTACGGAAGTAATCTGCCAGCATCTTCTGGTCCTCCAAGGGATCTTCTGCTCCCACGGCGACAACAGGAGGACAGGCGCGCAGGGCGCCGTAACCTTCGGGGAGACCTTTCTCTCGACGCCATTTCATCTCCCGCTCGAGGATGTGAAACATGGATACGACATTCTTCAGGCAGCTTGGAAAGTCAGTAGGCGTACCATCTGGTTTCGGGAATGGTGGTTTACCTTCTCACTTCGATATTACCAAAAGTAAGCGAGACCAAGAGCACCTCAACTTCCTCTGGCTTAGCGGACAGTGCCAGGAGAAGGGCAAGGATATCATCGATTCCCTATATAAGCAATCAAGCCGGTCAGACGCTGAAGGATAGAGCAGCTGCAGTCTGGGACGAGAATCAATTATATCATACAGGATCGGTGTCGATAATGATCTTTCTAGGCGCCATTGTGTGGATAGTCTACTTCGAGAGCACTGCCTACAGCTTCCGCGAATTATTTCAGTTCTGCAAATCTTGTTGGAACGATGATGTTGAGGGAGGAAAATTGCGACGATGCAAAGGATGGAGGGGAAGTGGGATGGTTCTTGGCTGGTCCCGAGTCTTATCACTCATGCTCCACTACCGCGGTTGTTGATAAAGAAGGGCTTAGTCACTCACACCTTCAAGGGCCAAATCAGCGGTCTGATAATTACTTGTCTAGGAGAAGCTGTAGTTAGCATGACTCCTTGAAGGTCCAATGCAGGTCATTTGGCTGAATAATTGAAGCACATGATCGTTAAGTTATGATTGATGATATTAGCTGCGTGTTTTTGGAATAGACACTGAGCCAACTGTCTCAGCACCATCCTTCTCCATATAGATATAGATACAGATCATTCAGACAGATCCTCAATTTTATTTGACATGTCCAATTATCTATCGTGTAGCATTGGGATGAAGAAGGGGAAGCCTGGAGCAGGACTGTCCTCCAAGGCTCCAACCCACTGCATCCATGATTGTGGTAATTTTGACCAGATAGGGTAGCTGTCTCGGGTCGTCCAGGCCGACGGAGGTTCTTCCCGGGGGTCTGGAGTCTGGACGATTCTAAGCTGAGACGTGGCCTGTTCGGAAGGCGGAATGACCTGCAGGGAGTGGTATTACCCCTGTATTTGTGCCTCTGCCACTGCCACTGCCAGTTGGTGGTAACATACAACTCGAACATACCGGAGCTTCCCTTCAACAGCTCGGTAGTTCTACCTCAATACTTTAAGTCTAGTTCTAGTTAAGTTATTCTTTCCCTCAGATCTAAAGACATTTCCTTCTAGCAAGCCATGTCTTGTGTATCGCAGGGGGTTGGCTTCCTTCTGACTATGACACGTCGATGCCAGAAGTGCAACGCGACATTGCAGTCCAGAGGGGTCAAACCAATGTCACGCATGGGGAAGATCTTTCCCCGCGCCAGTGTCGAACACCGTCCTCCACACCAGGGGATGCTGTAAGACCATTCGGTCTGTCAACGTCACGGACACTGGTCCGACGACAGGGAAGGAAGAGGTCTGATTCGTGCTGGTCTTCCAAGGCTAATTTGTTCAACCCCAGGAGGTGGCTAGTGGCTAGTAGAAGTCCGTAAAGTGATTACAGAGATTACTTTGATTACTCCTCTCCTATCTGTTACCAGCAGTTACAGACTGGCTGACTGGCTGGCTCAAAGAAAGTAGAAACATGGGGTAATCCTTTCATCAATGCGCCACAGGCATGTCAGCCCGTGTGATGACTGCAACTGGGTTTATAAAAGATCTATCCCCGAGAAAAGTCTCCTGAATCACGGTCCAGATGATGATCAGGCAAGAATCTCCTCCAAGATCTTGCACTACTTGACAATTTAACGTTACTCTTAGCAGTGGAGTCTCTCATCCAGCGCGTGCAAGGACCGCTGTTTGATACCGATACGAGTGACCATTACGGAGTACGGAGTACCTGGGTAGTTCATCCATCTCGGTGCTTTGGTAATTTATTCCTCACCACTTGCCGAGTCGACAGCCACACCCCTTCATCTCCAATCCGTGTCCTCTTTCTCTCCCACCATCGCCCTCCTCCTCCTTACAACCCTCCTCTTCTCTCTCCCCTCCAATTCCTCGCTTCCAACTCGTCCCCTGCCATACTTGTGTTGCATTTCCAGTCAGCCATTGTCGCCCACCCTTCAGTCTTCGGCTGACGGGTGCTTCAATGGTCTTTCGGTGATACCATCCCGTTACTTCTTTACCTCACCTTGCTCCGTCCTCGCGACCTACCTCACCTTTCTCTTTCAACTCCGAAGCGCCGACCGAAGCGTTCAACTACCCCAAGCTCCAGGGCCCTGTGTGAAGACCATCGATCCGCGGCTGAGGTCTCCAATTCGAATTTCAGATTCCTCCAATTGCCATCTGAAATCAAAAGTCCCAGGTAGTGCTACCGATTCGCCATTCGAGCTCGCCGGAGAAATCTGGCCTTTCAGCGCAACTGCGGCAACTTTCTCCTTCGCCAACCCACACCTCTTCTCCTTGCGCTTTTGTCGCAATCTGGTAACAAAGAGGAATCCGAAATCACGCGATTGCTCGAATTGAATCTTTCTCCGTCTGGTACCTTCACCAGATCTTTTTTCGCCTGCTTCTCTCAACGTTTCCGGACACGCGAACGGAAAATTTGACGACCGCCAGCTCAGTCTTTCGCAGTGCATTGAGACGGGTCTCTTTGAATTTCACGACTCTTGCTACGTACTTCAAGAAATAAAATTAGTGACTGTACGTCCTGGCATTTTAACCTCGCTCTTGCACTCCCAGCAAAACTGACAATTGCTTTGACCACAGCTTTAACGATGATGAATCCTTATATCAGCTGGGCTCTCCTGCTTGTAGTGGCAGGTGGCCTTGGATGGTACTACAACGGCCCCTCTCCTAAGGTCAAGGCCCCGATCAAGGCAATCACAGAGAAAGTCGAGAGTGTTCCGGCTGTGAAGAAACAGAAGCGGAAGACGAAGAAGTCCTCGGAAGCCTCCCCCGCACCCAGCAAATCCGTTGAGGAGCAGCCTGCAGCTCAGACTACGAGCTCGCAGGTTGAGGAGCAGGATGAGGAGATCGACCGAAAGGAGTTGGCCAAGCGCTTCAACGCGGTGAAGAATGGTATCCCGGCTCAAACCAGTGCTCCTACCAGCAAGTCTGCCAAGAAGAAGAAGAGCAAGGGCGCCCTTCCCCAGCTCGAAAACGACGAGCGCTCGGCTTCTCGTGTCTCCACCCGCACTTCGTCTACCACTGGTGCTGATGCCGACGACGACCTGTCTCCCGCTGGTTCCCCCGTTGTGAACGCCACTGTTCCTTCCGCTGGTTACATCTCCGACATGCTCGAGGCTCCGGCCCCTGGTGCTTCCGTTCTCCGCGTTACCGGCGCCGCACCGGCTGAGGCTCAGAAGAAGAAGGCCCAGTCTTTCAAGCAGGTCGAGACCAAGAAGCAGCGCCAACAGCGACTAAAGAACGAGGCCCGTAAGCAGCAAGTCCAGGAGGCTGAGGAGCAGAGACGCAAGTTGCTCGAGAAGCAGCTCCACACGGCCCGCGAAGCTGAGCGTCGCGAGGCGGCCAAGTTGACTCCTACTGCACCCCAGACCAACGCCTGGCAGACCAAGGCTGCTCCCAGCGCCACCGACGGTACTTCTCAGCCCGCCGTGGCCCCCAAGGTCGAGCTCTTGGACACGTTCGAGCCAGTTGCCGCCACTTCCAAGCCTGTCAAGGAATGGGATCAGGGTCTTCCCTCCGAGGAGGAGCAGATGCGCCTTCTGGGTGCGGAGAACGGTCAGGACCAGTGGACCACCGTCTCCAGCAAGAAGATCAAGAAGAAGAGCGGAAAGACGGACGAGAGCGAAGTCAGTGCTTCTGAGAGCCAGCCCACACCTGCTGCTCCTTCTCCCGCCCCCGTTGAGCCCAAGGTAAAGGTGACTCCCACCTATCTCCCCGACATCCTCCGCTCCAACCAGAAGGGACACCCTCTCGACTCCGACTGGGCTGCCTAAGCAGGTCTCTTTCCGGGACAGAGGATGCAATTCCGGTTTTGTGCAAGATGCCCTTCGGACACAAGCCGGATCCAACTAATCCGTGGGCTGTATTTATACTCATGGCTTTGGCGTTTGGGACATATTATTCTTCATCGAAAACCTTTCGCATGTATCTGGCACATTGCTCTGTTCCAGCCCCCCAACATGGCTGCGACGACGGAGACACTCAATGGGCCGAATATTTCGAAAATCCCTCCGTTCTTCTTCAAAAGCCATGTACCTTTTTTCCCTGACATCTCACTTGTTATGCTCGGTTTTACCCTCTTGATGTGCTCCTTTCCTTCACCTTTTTGTCTACCTATTTCCTTAGAATACCTTGTATCTTGTATTCCCATTGATAATTGATCACAATGACACGATCTGCTGTATTTCTCTTCCTTGAGGCCATCGTCTGGTCAGTCTGGATTGGCGCATCCGCCTTGGGTGATTTCTTCCAATTCTCAACTTTTGGTGTTCTGTATGTCATAGCAGATCTTGAATGAGGAGAATCAGTTGCTATCCGGAGAATCAAGGCTCATCATAAACCATCAAGGCTGTGAAGGGGAAACCTGGTCTTTAGTAGATGATTTATTACTTCAGTTTTCAGGGTAAGGGAACTTGGAAGGGTTTTGGTTCTTGCTGCTTTGGGACTCGGACCCTGGCGATCGGGCTTGTTGCTGCGCCTAGGCGAGATCTTAAGCTTCCAAACATTCTACAGCTGTAACCTTGACTTGTCCACTTTTTTTCAATTTGTTCTTCTTTTTGAGCTACAAGATCCTTCTTCCGCGGGAGGAATTATAGTGAGCGTGGAGAAGTGGTTCGACCTATTTTTGTCTGGGTCGTGTTTCGTGTTTCGAATCTCAGACGACGGATCTCCCGCCGCAGAACTAAAAGATTGGCGGTCCCTGTTTTTGGTGTGTGTGGGGTGGGGGGAATATCTGGTTCAGTGGTTCAGTTGAAGAAAGGGCCCATCCCCCCCTTATGGGGGTGTCTCAAGGTCAGTAGTTGTGTATAATGATAATGGGAAAAAGGGGTGTGGTCAATTTGTGGTATTGCTACTACTGTTGTTGTTTTTCCTTTTCTTTCGCCAAAGATTCCAGCAGGGAATATACATGGTTTCTAGAATGCGGGCCCGGAAGGTGTAGGCCAGTGAGGAAGAGAGAAGGGGTTAAGGATGAAGAATTGAAGGTCCTGGCGAACTGGCGAACTAGCGAACTGGCGAACAGACTGGAGATCTTTGGCTTATGTAAGGACCTTCGACGCTCTAATGGCGTCACGCCCGCAGCTCCGACGGCTCCGCTAGTCCGCATTGGGACTAGTGATGAGTTCCGGTCATCGTGGCCTTATTTCCATGTACGGAGGAGAGAGTACTGACCCAGTAACTGACCCTGTGCTTGTTTGGTGTTGGTTCTTCTGTTCAATGTCTCAATAGCAAGAAAGAAGAAAGAGACCAACTTTACCTAGTACTTCCGACTGTGCTTCTTTGCTGCAGCCACTATTCATTCGTTCCACCCCCCATTATTATTGATTGCTTGCTCCCTCTTCGATCCATCACCTTTTTCCGCTTCTTATTCTCCTCTTCCTCTTCGTCTTCTTCCTCTTCTTCCTTTCTTTCTTCTCTTCTTCCTCTTCCTCTTCCTCTTCCTTCCTTTCCACTTCACCTCATCTACCTCTATTCTTCCCGCCTAGTGCGCCTGGAGCTACTCCCCGAATCCCTTCTACCGACTTCCTTGTTTGTTTTCCCACCCCCCGTTACAACCTTCCGAGGGGTCCAACTCTACTACCCTATATTTCTTCCTCCTTCATTTCCTCTACTCTTCCAACTCACCACTTTCATCTATACTATATTCGTCGCCATGGCGCAAATTCGTGGCACTGCCGGTTACAACCTCGGCCACCAGAACCCCTTTGGCGGTCCTGGCCGAGCAGAGGCAACGAGCGACCCGAGTCCTTTGGATGCTATCCGGGAGCAGACCAGCAAGATTGAGGATTGGCTCGACACAATGGCCGATCCGGTTAAGCCGTACGTGATCCTCTATCGATTTCTACGGCTCCAATGGCTGGAGTGCTCGCACCTGGGGCAGTGAAAGGAGCCTCCGACCGATCCGCGCATCCAGAGAAGACGTATCTCCGCTGACACCGTGGCTTTTTGCTCTCCAGATATCTCCCAGCCATTGGTCGATTTTTGATCGTGGTTACCTTCCTCGAAGACAGCCTGCGTATGATCACGCAATGGAACGACCAACTGCTGTACCTGCGTGATTACCGGAAAAGTAAGCTCACACCTCGACTTCGTTCCTCTCCTGCCGGCTGCGCGGTAGCACCGCGGATGGAGACTGTGAAACGCAAGAACATCACTAACCCGTCTCTCTCCGTACTAGTACCATGGGGAATCACGCATACTTTTCTTCTCGTCAATATGATCGCCATGTCGGTTTGCTCGGTTTTGGTCATCGCCCGCAAGCACACTGAGTTTGCCGTCGCGGGTTTGTTGGCCGTCGTGATTACCCAGGGTCTCGGATACGGATTGATTTTCGACCTCAACTTCTTCCTTCGCAACCTGAGTGTGATCGGCGGTTTGCTCATGGTGCTTTCTGACTCGTGGGTGCGCAAGAAGTTCGTCCCTGCCGGTCTGCCCCAGCTGGATGAGAAGGACCGCAAGATGTACGTCCAGTTCGCTGGTCGCGTGCTGCTCATCTTCCTCTTCATTGGGTTCGTCTTCTCGGGCCAGTGGAGCATGTGGCGCGTGCTGGTCAGCTTGTTCGGCTTCGTCGCTTGCGTGATGGTCATTGTGGGATTCAAGGCCAAGTGGAGCGCTATCATTCTGGTTGTGTTGTTGAGCGTCTTCAACGTGCTGGTCAACAACTTCTGGACTGTATGTTCCCCTTCAATGCTGCTCATTTTTTTTCCAGCAACTGACATGATGACCAGCTTCACCCTCACCACCCTCACAAGGACTTCGCCAAGTACGACTTCTTTCAGATCCTGTCTATTGTGTACGAGTCCCTCCCTCGCCTTTCTTTGACTTTCCTCCACGACACAGGCTAACATATTCATTTATTCAATAGCGGTGGACTCCTGCTTCTGGTCAACATGGGCCCCGGTCAGCTGAGCATGGACGAGAAGAAGAAGGTCTACTAAACGACGGAACGACGAAGACCAACGACGTCGACGACTCCGCTGCCGTTCGAATCCGGCTCAGGTGCGCGCTTGTATGACGCGAGGGCTCTCCCGGGCCTTGGAGACGACCCTTAGCTCATACGAATTGCTTTCCCTTCTCTCTTCCAATAGCTTCTTTGATTATTCTTGGAAAAGAAACATCCAGTCCCAGCCCCCTTAGCTCTGCCCCTCGAATACCACCACCATGATCTCGCCAGTCAACGGATAAACCAACCTCAGAATCAATAAACAGACAAAAAAAAAAAGGAAGAACTCGATTCCAATTTTCATTAGCTCGATTTAGCTATCTGTGCATGATGAAAATGTTCACCAATTTATCATATATTCGTTCCACCCCGTTGTAGTCTGCATCGCCCTTTAGCTTGGGGAGATTAGACCCTATTGTAGCCGAGTAAAGTAGCACCTCGAACCAAAACGGACAGCAGATCGTTAAATTATACCAGGTATACAACCCGCGCCATACCCGACCGGGCGTAGCGAGTCAGCCATGCACTAAACTCCATAGATATATACTAGACATGGAAGTCATATAGACAGACACCTGTGGCTTGGAATCTCTGTGGTTTAACTTAACGCCAACAACACCTATCGGCATCCCATGAAATGAGATCCTTAGTATAGTATGGTTGATTGATTCAATCGAGTCCGGTTTGAAGGGCGGTAGTAGGTCGGTAGTCAGTTCGCAACTCAAAGCTCTGGGAAACTCACCCAGTCCAGTCCATTCCACTCCGACTACAGCACAGCACAGTACAGTACATAGTCTACGTACCCGTCTACGCCCCCGCATCTAATCAGCTTTTCCTGCGCCGCAAAAACAGAGAGAAAGGGAAACATAATCCCGTCCGCATTCATCGCCCGGTTCCAGGGTTTGGGATTGGTGTCAATCACAATCACAAGCACAAGCACAAGCACAAGCAGCCGCTGGATTCTCATACATATATTCAGATATACATTATGGTCACTATGCTTTATGGGGGGGTTGTGTGACTGCTGCTGCTGCTGGCGCGATAGCCGTAGGGCGAGAAGATCGAGGGGTTGTAGGTATTGTGTGGGCGTGTGTAGATTCTGATGCTTGAGATTCCTGGATATATGACTGGTGCCTCCTCCCGGGACGTCGTCCAGCATCTTGCAAGGTCAGCTAGGCTAGGCTAGGCTGGCTATCAATTACCACATACCAGCACCCACCACCGGAAAGGAGGATTCTCTCTGGAGATGGGTACTCGCCAACGCTCGTCGCCATCGACAATGCTATCGGGAATGTCGGAGCTCGGGATCTTCAAAACAAAGAGGTCAGGGGAGAGCCCTCATTCGGATCTTTGAGGGCATTTGCCGATATCAATGGACATGATCCCCTTCCCCGCGGCCTCTCACGAGTGGTCTAGATCTAAATTTCAGCCGTGGAGGATTGGTAAAGCGTGGGACCAGCTTCGTCTAACCACTTCAACGCTCGTCCAGACATGTAATAGCAGCAGCCTGCAATAAAGAAATTCAGGTGGGTTGTGTATTAGGATAAATTAGTATACAAGAAGGGGTGGGTAGCGGGCAAACTAGGTTAGTAGTCATAAGACAAAGAAAGTGACAGAAACAAGTTGCAGGTGGACAAAATGAAAGTGGACGGACGAATCACAAAAGGGAGAGACAATGGTCAATGACAAATAAGAAAAAAAGCAAAAATAAGGAATGCGGTCGGGAACACACAAGAAAAAGGAAAGACAGGGGGGGAAAAGGCATAAGTACTCTGTGCAAAATAGTCTTCAACAACAATGATTGTGGCTCAAGTTGGTCGCAATTGATGAACA